TTTCTCCTTTTATCCATTTTTCCCTTCTTGCGTAGTTTCGAGCGAAGACAGGTTGCTTTAGACTGAATTTCATTTTTCGTTTCGAAGTTTCAAGGTGCTTCCTAGGCGATTCAAACAGTTGACTCAACGAACAGGTCTTCTATATAAAAGTTCAGCAGGTAATTTACCTTCAGCATTCGGCATTGCGCGATTTGTTGCATGGTATTTCGATACAGCGAATTTGAGAGACAATCCATCGTCAATGTTTTTCTTAACAGCAGCTTTAAAAGATCTGACGAATCGTTCGGCTAACCCGTTTGAATGCTTCAGCCGTTAATTGCGGACCATTGTCACTTACGATGGTTTCTGGTGTACCTTCCAGAGAAAATATAGAAGACAATGCTGATATATATTCTTATGTTTTGTTATATTTTATACAACCAACTGAGTAATAAGTATATTTATAAGTAAAACGAAATGTCTTTTACTTATGACAGCCTGACTTCGACTGACTCTCTATTTATTCAATATATAATATGTATTACAACTAATAATTACAAAGTTGTAATTATACTACTTAATTATACAACAATGATGTCAATCGTTGTTGCTGTAGATAGTTGTACAATGAACGGAAATTGCGAGAAAGCGCCGACACATATTAGCCACATTGAATTACAAAATGGGCCAGCAAAGTCGATATGTATTCTCTCCCAAGGTCGATCAGCTTCAGGCCAGCATACGTATTCACGTGCGTGAACAGAATTTGCAATTTTGCACACATCATAATTTTCAGTTAATTGTGTGATGTCTGTGTCAATATTAGTCCACCAGACATATTGTCGAGCTAGCTGTTTCATTCTCGATACTCCCCAATGACCATCATGAAGAAGTTTAAGAGCTTTCTGCTTAAGGGAGGCTGGAATGACAACCCGGTTGTACTCTGTGTGGAGGCAAAACAAATTGTTGTTTAGCATTAAAGCAAAGCGATGATTGAAAAATGATCGAAGATCAGCATCTTGTGGCATTAGCTTTTCAGGCCAACCGTTTGTAACGAGAAAATAAACTTGGCGGAGAATTGGGTCATTCTTGGCATGCTGACGAATTATTTCAGCATCGATAGGTATGTTAAGTTCATTGATTCTTACCTATCGATTCTTCGCAATCAAAAGTTTTATCTTCAATAACTGTCAAGCTGTTAATTGTTTCAACAGTACCAGTGTTGTGACTTTTATGGCGGTAATCTTTCTTTTTATCTTCGTCATCTGAATTGCGTTTGTTGCTCTTGTTTTCCTTTGACATGCACACTGGCGAAATATGACCAATTTTGCTACATCTATTGCATACAGCATTTCTAAATTTGCAGTTTTCTCTTGCATGAAAGTTTCCGCAGCCAGAGTATGATTTGAATTTTACTTTATTATTGTTATTGATAAAAACATCCGGTTTTTTATAATTGCTACCCACACTGTGGGTCGGCTACCCACTCTCTGTACGATTGATGCGGCTTCATTTCCCTTATGAAAAAATCGTAACGCACAGCGACCACATGTCGTTTCGATTGGAAATTTTTTTTTTGTTTGTTTTTTATTAACGATTCTGAAAATAAAGACAAAAATCGTTTTAATATTGCACCTGGTACAAATAACAAATAAGAGGTACTAATAAGCAATTTGAATTGAATATTTAAGGTAAAAACGAAGCTATTTTGCTACTCGGTGTCTATTAAGTCTGCCACTGTTTTCGTTTTTACCAGTCTAGGTATTGCAACCACTTGGAGAAGACTGGATGCTGTAACGTTGACATGTGTTTTCAAACGCTGTTTGTGAGCAATGGCACATCTTTTAGCCACGACGTCGACTGTTAGCATGCCAAGGTCACGGTGGATATCACTGTTTCTAATGTAATATGGAGCATTTACGATGTATTACATTCTTTTGAAAGCGCTGGATAGTTGCAATGTGTTTCTTGCTGGCACAACCCCAGAATTGTATGCCATAACTCCAAGCCGGCTTCAGTATTTGTTTATAGACCATTAGTATGCTATGGATTGCCAGTACTCTAAGTTATTCAACGCAATATTACCGCAATTAATACTAGAGTCATATATTCAGGACAGGAAATTTCACATAAAAGTTGAGAGCTGTACAACATCTAATCTCGACATAAGGGTTGGAGTTTTTCAAGGCAGTGTTTAAGGTTCAATACTTTACATTCTGTTTATTTCGGATACATTAACTCTCGTGTTTTGACTCCTACGTTTGCTGATGACACTGCTATCCTTAGTTCTCATCAAACAGATTCATAGATTCTTGAAATTTAATTGAACTGTAACATGGTTAACCAACTGGTACATTCACGTAAACGAAAATAAAACCACACATGTAACGTTTACCCTGCGTAAGGACACATGTCTCCCAGTAATCTTCAACGGCATCACCACACCGTATCATATCTGGGTATTCATTTGGATAGGAGACTAACTTGGCGCAATCTTAAGGCTAAGCGAACTCAAATAAGGCAAAAATCAAAAAATTTCACTGCTTTTTGTTTTTGCACTTAAGATGAGTGATTTTGTTGTATTTTTCTGGTTTCGAGCAAACTTCGTTTGTTTGATTCTTTCTCTGGCAAAAACGATCTCTAAGTATGAACACGCGGGTACGCACAAAAAATGATTAACTAATCACAAAAAATTAAATTGTATTATAAAAATTTTATAATGTCAATAAAAATCAAATAATAAATTATAAAACGTGTATAATTTGGCAGTTGATTTGTAAAAATGTGTAAAGCGGACGTGCCCGGTAGATATTAAAAAAACAAACATTCATAAAAACGCTTATGAAATTTACATTGGCGCCCAACGTGGAGCACGAAACTTCACCGTTCGTATCAACTTAACCACGCGGCGTTATAGTGTTCTTATATATATGCATGGTGGAAGAATCATATATATAAATTTTGAAACTGTTACTAATTACTGTTCGTAATCACTAAGCCACGCGGCGCGATAATGTTCTTATATATATGCATGGTGGAAGCATCATATATGTAAATTTTAGAACTGTTAACGATTATCGTTCAGCTACGAGGCGCAATAATTCAATAGACGTACTGTAGAAGTACGCAGATTTATGGAAAACATAACTACACTGTTCGAGTTACAACCTGCGTCGAAACATTCAAGTGGACAACTTTGAAGTCTAGTAGACCACGTTTCAGCATTGTATGGATCATTACGGTCATTGGGTGACGAGAAAACTATATGTGAGTCAATGTTGATATATTTAGTCATGCAAAAGGTTGACGAAGATACTCGCAATAAGTAGAAAGAATCACTGAATTTCGAGATATTACCAAAATAAAGGATTGTGCCAATTTATTGGATAGACACTGTCAATTCTTAGAATTAATCGGAAGTGAAAATAGAACTCATAATCAGATGCGTCACAAGACGAATGCTCAGAATAACTCATATGTACGTCCGACGCAGTATACCTTTTTAGTAGCGACATCGAATCGATCTTGTTTCATGTGTGTTAAGTATTACATTAATAATTTATTTTGTCTTTTGCTGACCCATGATAAAAATGCATTTAACGTAATCGTAATACATTAATAGGTTATATTTTTGCTGATTAGTGTTTATTTTATAACTAGGGCAAGAACACATTTTAAATAATTTATTATTTATTGTTTGCTAAATATTTTATGTAATTTGCTTGCTATTAATTACTCATTGTTTTGGTAAATATTTTATGTAATTTGCTTGCTATTAATTATTTATTGTTTTGCTGAATATTTTATGTGTCATTATAAGTAATATTTTTTGCTTGATATTAATTATTGTTTTAAATTGGGTCAGTAAATTATTGTACGTAATAAGTTTTAGTAAGTAATTATTATAAGAAAAAATGTATATAAACAAATCAATTCTTTTAATAAAGCGTATTCGATGATACAAATTTGAATAGA